CCCCCCTTATTTCTTAGTGGCATCGGCCCGGCATGGCCAGGTGGTTAGGGTGCTCGACTAGCAATCTGCGGGTCGCGGGTTGGAATCCCCGTCACACCAAACATGTTCGTCCTTTCATCCATGGTATAATATGACGGTCAATCCCACTATTTGTTGGTGAAAGAGTAGTCCAAGAGTTGGCGGTGGGTGGTGATGACCAGCTGCTTTCCTTCTAGTCTTACACTGCTAAATTAGGGACGGCTAGCGCAGATAGCTCTAGTGCAGCTTTGCGTAAAATTCATAACAAACCAAACCAATCTTAGTGGTAACTATCAAGCCTTTTGTTTACTCTGGTCAAAACCTGTTTTGAGCTGGTATGCAAATGGTATGACTCAATGGTGCTTCTGCTTGATGGCTCTAACTATCCTATCTCTTTTAAAGGTTGAATAGGTCCGTTGTCCTATCTACTGTTTATTAACTATATCTCTTTATTAATGGGTATTGAAATATGATTTGACGCATCACATGATCTGTCAATTTTATGTATGCATGTTTTGGTGTTACAGAGTTTTTTGTGCCATGACATTGATACGGCAGCAGTCCATTCAGTGGCTGCATAACATATCAGAAAATAAAATAATCAATTAAAGTGAAGAGCAAATTTGAAGAAATAAAAAATTAAAGAAGCCTTCCACATTCACTTTGACGAACAAAGAATTGAAGTTTGAATACTAAAACTTGTAAACATAAATACAACATCCAAAGTGATCGTTAATGGACAACAGCTCAGTCCAATACAAAGCAGTCCCTCGTCCAGTTCGTAATGTCCCAGGTTCTAACCCAGTTAAAACTGTCATTTTTAGGACTACACGTTTAAAAGAGCATCACATTTGCAGCCAAAATGTAATGTTAATACAATATTTTTGAATTTATAGAAAAGATAGAATAGTTAGAATATTATCTAACAAGGCTGGATTGTTACAGGCTACCAAATAATGGTAATCATCTTCCAATGAGACATTTCACTCAATACTAGAATTCTGTAGACTGGTTGAGGTATAATAAAAAATGTCTTAGTGAAAATACCATTCGTATTAGTCTTCTATCTCCCCCCACCCCACCCCAGTGGCTCAGTGATAAATCTGAAAGTTTATAACGTTAACAACCGGGTTTTCATACCCGTAGTGGGCATATCACACATAGCCCATTATGTATCTTTAAACTTAACAAGAAACAAACAAAAATAAGTCATCTATGAAACATGTTTAATGGTGCATAAGGCCTAAGCTGGTGAAATATAAGCTATGCTATAAAGGAAAAGGCCTCATGGGCAGTGGTATACAATGGATAAAAGTGTAATTTTAATACACTGTACCTGTTCTTACTAGAAACCGACAAAGGATCGTTAAAGAGTTATGAGATGAAATATAATTTGTCTTACTGTGGTATAATACCACACTCTGCTACTGTGCTGCAACTTAGGAATTATACCCAACTTATCTGTAAATGTTTTCCTAGAGAAATGGGCTGCTAAGAATTAGTTAGCATGCTATGATTTCGCTATTTTCAATTTCTTACGCCAAGAAATAAACAGTAGAGGTAATTATAACAAGAAAGGGTAAATACATATAATATTAATATATGAGTTAAGCATAATAGGCTGATTACAGAGGTCATACAGGATTAAAACGAGTTATAACCTTAAATGTTAAGCTAAAGTAGTAAATTAATATACTATTCTGCTTCACACCAGAAATTATTGAATGTTCAACCCCTTAAAGCTTAGTGTAAGACAACTACACTTTTTCCCATCGTATGCTGCTACCGCCCATCCGGTATTTTGCTTTATATTATGACTCATATTTCACCGGCTTAGGCCTTATACACCATTAAACGTGATTTTTCATTGAATGAACTTGTGGGGTTTCATTTTGGGTCCCTTATATGAATTTTGGTTAAAACTTTATAATATATTTAAACTAATGATGTGTTTGTTTGTAATTAAGCACAAAGCTACACAATGGGCCATCTGTGCTCTGCCCACCACGGGTATCGAAACCCCGATTCTAGCGTTATAAGTCCGCAGACATACCGCTGTGCCACTGGGGGGCGAACTAATGATATTATATAAATGTAAGTTAGCATTTTGCCAATAATATCTGAAGAAGAAAAAACAATTAGTAGAAAAGCTACCAGGTTACACTGACCTCATTATTAGGGCACCACATGCACAGTTGTAAAATCATTTCATGTGTTTGCATATGTATAACAGACTGATTGTTTAAGCCATATACACGCAGAAATGTAGTCATTTTATGGTTATTATGAAACATAATGTGTAAGAGCAAATGTATTTTGGATTTTCAAAGAGCTTGATAATGATTGCTTACTTAATAGAATCATCGTTATCAAAGATAATTTCTTTCACTGACTGGCCAAACACACGTCATCAGAGCCTATGAACAGTGGCAATCAAAAGGAAATAATTCTTCTATTACAAAAAACTGTAATTGACAATTAGTGATGGAAGATCAAAGGAAAACTATGACTGGTTAGGCTTGTCAAGTGCAACAGACAACAAAATATGGCCCATTTTACAAATACCTTCTTTAGTGCTTAAAATTTGACTACTTCCAATCATACTATGCAAATGAAGTTACAAGACTGTCATATGGCAGCTGATATGCAGTCCGAAAACCATTATTTCAAATGACTAAAGGAAATCACAGATTCAGAGGTCATTAGGACATAAACTGAAGACTCTGATTAACTTGATGCATGTGTAGAGCTAATGAATCAGATTAAACCATTTTCTGTACAGATGTTAGGATAAAATGTAAAGGCACTTGGCCTTTCTTGTATCGTTCTGATAGCGCAAGATTCTGGAGGTGATTTTAAGGTGTGGAAACCATCCTTTCAGTAGTGGATGGGTTCGTTGATCTTGGAATAACATTCACATTTAGTTTAATGTTGTTCTAGTTATGTACAATGCTGTATTTCCATCCTGAATGACCGAATCCTGAAAGTGAGCTTAAATTGAAAATATGTCATAATAATCATAAAAGTAATAATTAATCGTGTTTATAAATGTACTAATTTAGTCAAGACTTAAAGTTATGTAACTCCATTTAATTGCAAAATCCTTTACTTCTGTGAATCCTCTAATGTTTTTAGAGTAGAAATACTTTTATCATTGATGAAATTATCTTATTAGAACTTATTTGTGAAGCAAGTTGAGCAGTCATATTAAAATATAAATTTATCATTATTAATACCTAAATAGAAGTCCCCGGGAGGGACATTGGTAAGTTTACGGACTTAACACACTAAAATCCGGGATTCGACTTCCCCCTGCAGTGGACACATCAGAGAGCCTAATGTAGTTTGCTCTTTAAAAAACAAACAATTAGAATATAAAACGTGATGTAATAGAGGATGAGAACTTCGAATGTTAGGATTGTAGAATATGTAAAATAATTAGTGAAAGACAAAAACAAAACATGTTGTTTTGAGGGTCATCAATAACTTATGTTTCTTTGACTTGTTTTTTTTATGTTTAAGTGTGCGCTGAAAACATAACTGAACAAGTTCCACTTTTTTTTTGTTGTTGTTGGCAGTAGTAGCCCCAGTATAATCTAGAGGTTATCATATCGAACTGGAGGTACGAAGGTCTCAGGTTCGAGATGTGATGCTACCAAACACGTTTTTCATATTTATATATAAGATATAAGAGTGTCAGTCAATTTGATAGAAAAAGTTTAAAAATAAAATGGTAAAGAAAAGATCAAACCGAAGAGTGTGCGTGTTTGTATGAGTTTTTTGGTAAGCATTTGCACAATGTGCTAGCTGTGCTCTGCTCACTACAGGTGGGGGGGGGGGAGCACATACCGAAGAATTAAGAAACTGAAAATTAGAACTTTTGATAAAGATAAAGAAAGATAAAATTGAAAATGAAAATTAGTATCATAGAAAGAAGAAATCGAAAAATATATGAAAGCCAAAGAGAATAACATATATCATCGAAAGAAAAAAAAAGGTGAGGAACCAGAAAATCAAAAACGATATAACAGTAATAAAAACGTTAAAAAGAGAAATAGCTGTTATAGAAACAAGAACATTGGGAACACCCCATAAAAGGAGAACGTTATAGAAAACAGCACAAGTACATGTAGTGATAAAATATAGGTATGGCGGAAGAAAGGTAAAATAAGTTGTTAAAGATAATGACATACTTTGATGAATTAGAATGTATGTTGAAAGCGATTTTACTAGTTAGTTTGCCACATACAACTTCGACTTTGATACTTATAAAGATCCAACTATGGAATGAAGTTTTATTGCAGGTTGCCGGGTCTGTTAATAATGTTATCTGGTGAAGAAAGTACATAACATCTTATCAGAGTTATTGAATAAGTAAACAAATATCTCACGAGTATCTATATTGTTTGTAATAAAACGAAATATTAATGCCATCGTATCGCGGAAATGGGCACACTCTTTGAGATCTTTGAGATATAAACACACGCTGAATTTGATAACTAAAACATTTAAATATGCACATTATGTAAATTTGTATTAAAGACTTTCCAACTCTACATTAAATTACAAAAATACATAACGTTATTTGAGTTCTCTGATGAATTTGTTTCTCGAGAAGATTTAAAAATAATAATAATAAACCATAACGTGTAAGATAGATATAATTGATGTTAAAAAAGGAACACTCTTTTTTTTAAATATTTCTTGTAAGGCACAGCCAGTCAATCAAACATAAAAGATGATCTTTATTTTTACAAGCTCTCGGTAGCTCAGCGGTAAGCTTAAGGGTTTATAATGCTAAAATTCGGGATATGCTAAATAGGAAAATGTTGAGTAAAATTGGACCTATATTAATATTCATGTTGCACGCTTGTTACAGCTGTAATAAAAAATGGCGCTAAGTCCCTTTTTATATAACTTGGCTTTTTTATATCACATCTTTATATGGTTGATCTCATTATTCTAACTTGGCTGTTTTTTGTGGACGTAAATGTTTTGATCAAGTTATAAATACACATGATGAAAATGTTAACACATTATTTAGTTTACTAATATATATATATAGTTTATTAGGCCCAAAAATCATGTGATATTCAGTAAGTACATAATCATGAAGACAAAAAGGTCTCTGGTGTTATCTTTACAGTGTTTCAAGGTAATGAATTTAACATAAAAACTTAAATAGTAAGTTAAAATGACGATCATGTCATGTTTTAAATAACAACTTCAAACTGAATTGTTTCTTGTTATCCAGTCTTCCAAGAAAAGCAAAAGGGACAGCGTGCAAGGCTACTTTATGGCCAGCAGAAGTATGCACTGGATCCCAGTAAGTTTTGGATTATTTTAGATATTTATAAAATAATATTGAAACAAAAGTCGCTATTCAACAAAAGAAGACTAACGTCACAAAATATCATAAGAAATAAAGTGTACAGTTCACTTAGCCTTAAACATCTTCGTCCTTCTAGTCTCAGTTCTAACATGGTCCACTTAGCCCTAAACATCTTCGTCCTTACTTAGCCTTAAGCATCTTCACCCTTCTAGTCTCAATTCTAACACGGTTCACTTAGCCTTAAACACCTTCGTCCTTACTTAGCCTTAAACATCTTCACACTTCTAGTCTCAGTTCTACCACGGTCCACTTAGCCTTAAACATCTTCGTCCTTACTTAGCCTTAAACATATTCCCCTTCTAGTCTCAGTTCTAACTGAGCAAATATTACCTAAACCTTTCATTGTTTTTCTTTTCGTTTTGACTTTCAAAAGGGTATAATTTAGCTTATAAATCTATTTTTATAGTATAACCATGAACTTTCATGAAAATATGTTTTGTACTTCTAATGTATCGTTCCTCTATTTGATCAGATAGTTATATCTTTCAGGTGGGAGCGTCCCTGTTCGCCAGTAACATTGGTAGTGGACATTTTATTGGACTAGCAGGATCAGGAGCTAAGTCGGGACTTGGAATTGCCGGCTTTGAGCTGAATGTAGGTCATTTGTGTTTTATATATTGTAAACATATATCAATGCACATTTCACTAGTTTTAAAAACGTTTTGTTTCTCTAAAAGCTATCACCTCGCTTTTATTGGCTAAAATTAAAATTCAATTCTGACCATGAGGTCATTATATAAAGTAGTCTTAATCATTTCAGTGACGTCGTTACCTGAAATTATACAAAAGAAACAGGATTAGGAACAACCTTATCCGAACATATTGTTTTGAGGATAATTTGTCTCTGTTCTAATTTATTTTAAATTTACTAAGTGTGAGAGGGTGTACGGTTGAAAGGTAAAAAAGTGTAATCATGTTTAGCTAATGTAAGAAACTGAACATTTGTAACACAAGAAGATAGGGGTATGAATACAAGCATAACACAAACACACTCTAACACGTAAATACATATATATTATCCCTAAGAAAAACGTTTTATAAATCTAAGTCATTAACAACATATAATAAATAAAAAGCAGATGTACAGAATTAAAAATCAGAAAGCTAGTATAACTTTTAAATGAGAAATCAACAGAGAAACCTCAGATTCAAATGTTTCTAGGTCGTTGTGTTTTATATTGATTATACCAAACTATGATCCACTTGGAATTTATCAGTGTTGTATGTAAGAACTTATTATTATATCTGAATCACATGAACATTGCATTATTAATGGAACAGAAATCCGTTTTTCAGATAAGAATGATAGTGAGATCTTTAGAATTTTTATCACATCACGTGTATTTATACGTACAGAAACAAAATTTACTGTTCATGGATATCTAATAATTTTACTCAGATATGGACACTAAAACCAAGTTCAAACAAAGGAGAAATTAACGTTTTGCTTACCAGTTGTTCATTTGACTTGGATTATTTGATTTAAAGATACACACCAGCAATTTTTTGTTTGACAAATCTACTTCAGAAAGCAAATACAAGGTAGCCCAAAAGGATGAGAACTATTACATATGATAATCACAATGTGTTTTATTCAATTAGTGCAAGAATGGAGGCAGTAGTAATTCCCACAAACATATTATTTCATTCTCATTTAAGTTTTGCTTACATTGTATTATCTGGATAGAAACTGCTCTTTGATAATAGTTTGTTTTTTCTACACTCTTATTGCATTGGCCTTCTTCCTATCTAACCAAAATAGTTATATTGATCTATTAAAAGAGTTATTTCTGTTTGTTTATTTGTAATTAAACACAAAAGCTACATAATGGCCTATATGTGGTCTGCCCACCACTGGTATTGAAACCCGGATTCTAGCGTTGTAAGTCCGCAGACATACCGTTGTGTCACTGGGAGGCGAGTTATTTTTTTATATTAGCCACGTGAAAAGATTTAAATGCTCTTATTTTTCGTTTTCAAATGACAAAAATAATTAATAATGTTGTAATTGTAAACAATTACCTTGAAGGATCAACAAGAAGAAAACTTGATATTAAACTGTGTAAAATGACATTAAATGTATTAAAATGATTTTGAATATGCAGATTAGCTAGTCACGTAACAACTACAGCCCATATAAAGTAGCGGCGGAGTGGCATATATCAGAATCTCATTTTAACATTGTTTGACGTTAGGTAGGTACTGTGATGGCACTGAAAACTAATCACTTTTGCATAGGATATGTAACAACTCTTTCTAACGCAAAATATTCATATCTTAGATCATAAACATGTGTTAAGATCAAAGACTTAGAATTTGTAAGACTAAGATATCCTTTGTACTTAATGGTATTGCAAAACAAAGGAATATGATTCAATTTGGAGAACCAGAACCATCCAGAAAGAGACCTGCAACACGTCATGCCCAGTCATGGTAAGCAAAGTGCCTCATCTTGTAGCAGGTGAGAATCTACGAACACAAATATCAATGGCAAAAGCTATTCACGTGCATTATGCAACAGTATACAAGATATAAAAGAAGGATCTTCTTCTGAAAACGAGATCAACAGAGTTTTTGTTCACCAAGATAAGGCATTCAATTATACCTCTCGTTCATCTATCGTGTACCTTAAGCAGCTGGAAAATGAAACAGATATTTATGGTATTTCATATGAAGATGCAACTAATATGGATTTCTGGGCAATGAGGCTATTGAAACGAGCACTGTGAAACAATGGAAAGCATATAGACAGGAGATGTATGCTTTGGACATGACAACATTACGATAGAGTCTTGTGCAAAAATAATTACACAGAATTGCTACTGTCAAGATGTACGATCATGTGATAGAGAATGATTGAACATGGTTACGAGGACTGTAACGATGTAGTGGGGTTCCAAAATAGTTTCAATATTTCCTAACCAGATTCAAAACTTTTTTGTCAAAATTGTAAATTGAAGTATAAAAATAGAAACTTGGACTGTTCCATTCAAGTAAACACACCATTAACTTCTTTTTATAAAACATTAGTTTTCAAAGCCCTAAATTATAAATAATTACCTTATATCTTTATAATTCTTCAGTAGCCAGGCAGTTTGATTAAAAAATGTGGTTGTGCTCCTCTGGCCTTAATTATTGCTTGGCATTGCTGTGGTATAGAGTGAACAATGGACTGAATGCAGGCAGGGGTGAGTTCGTGTGGTCACAAGTGGAATGCAGCTTCCTGCAGTTACATGGTACTTCTCGGTTTCTTCTCTTGCACCTTTTTACCTATTAATTTTCAGTGGGTTTCTGTAGGATTGAGATCTGGGCTGTTCCTGGCCAGCTTAGTGTTTGATCTTCTCTATTTGAAAATAGTCCTTCACCTAATGCAATGAAATAAAAGTTAAGATGTATTTTCAATACACTTAGAGTGGCATTTCCTCTTTACTCTACGGGTACTGTATATGGCGCATGAACATTATAAACTTTTAGCCCTGTGGCATGGAGCAGATTCATCCTGGAATGTGCACTGGTCAGCTCCATCAAAGTAACCCCATATCGCTGGTTTTAACTGGGACTCAAGGATCTTGATGTATTTTCACAAAATGCAGACATCACACAGCCTAGCCAGAGGTACATGTCCATATCACCTGAACCTGTAGAGACGTCACCGTTACATTCAAATATGCTGGATGAAACTATTCTCCCCACTGACATCATACGAATTGATTCTCATCACACATGTATATTGAACCTTGATGCATCAGGGAAGATTGCTTTGTTCCACATTACTTCGGTTCAGTTAGCATGCCCTTTAGTCTAGTTGAGCCTCATCTTCCTGATCCTGTTGGTTAGGAGGGATTTTTTTCTTGACCATCTTGCCTAAGAGACTGACTGAAAACAGGCGAGACTGGATGGTGCACACGGTGACAGTGACTATGAAGTTTCCTGTCTTGCTCTTTGAGATCTGTGGACTACAGGCGATCGTTCTGCTGACTCATGCATTTCAAAACATGTACGCCAGCCACTGTGGAAACAATCTGCCTTGTCGAAAGGCCCTCTTTACTCAAAGAAATAGTGACTGTCTTTCTTTCCGTGTAGTTAACTCGCAGTCCTTAGTTATAATAGTATCACATACAAGTTGTAGCAGATAGAATTCTAAACTGACTCTCAGTAAAAACCTCTATTTATAGCAAAACAAAACTGCTTATAAAATACCCAGAAAACCTATAAAGTGGTGATGTAATAAACTCTCAGTAAGAACCTCTAACTATATCTTAAAAAACGACTGATACAATACCCAGAAAGCCTATAAAGCTGTTGATGTAATAAGTAAACAGTACTACATCATCCATGAAATACATATGCACCTACATACATTAGGGCCTCAAAACAGACGAGGATTCCGAAGAAAAGTTTGAAAAATTGGGCGATGCTATAAATTTTTCCACCATTGTTTATTCTTTAATGGAAATTAGGTTCTTAATCTCAAAACCTTTTCGAAACTACTATTGGCTCTTACACTTGCTCTTCTTTTATTGTTGTACTGTCACAGGAAAACAGCTATTCCATTTTTTGGATAAGTATAAATATTTATTCACTAGTTCACGGGCAAGTTTACACTTGTAAAGGAGAATCCTGTTGTGAATAAGATGAAACTAGATTCGCATTAATTATTTTGTAGAGTGGATTTTTTTTTATAGATTTATTTATACAGGTGATATAAGTGGTCATAGAAATATCAAGAGTTATGTAAGTGATGTAATGGCCTGATGGATAGGGCACTCGATTTACAATCTGTGGGTCGCGGGCTCGGATCCTTGCACCTTAACCTGCTTGCCCTTTCAGCCAGGGAGACATTATAATCTGAAGGTCAACCTCATTCATCATTGGTAATAAAAAAGTAGTCTAAGAGTTGGCAGTGTGTGGTGTTGAATAGCTGCTTTCTCTCTAGTCTATCAATGCAAAATTAGGAATGGCTAGCGCAGATAGTCCTAAAGTACCTAAGTACGAAATTCATCAAACAAACAAAAGAGGCGTTGTAAGTGGTCGTATCAATATGGAGAATTATAAACGAGATTTAAATAGGAATAACAATATTAAAAGTTAATTTGAATATGAATCGTCATCTTTTTCATCAGTTGTCTTTGTGCAAATACATTGTTGTTCCGCCACAGACTATAATCGATTACCTTTTCACGTTATTCACTGAAATGAACAAGGGAAATGATCCGTCAGATGACAAATATGATTAGTTTAATATCTGTGCCAAAATCACTTTAATGGAATTATGTTTTCTTTCCATGTAATTGGGTTACACTGAACTGCCTAGATAATTTTGAAACTGTTAAAACTTGAAGACCCCAACCTCCTCTTTAAGTAATAACCCAGGAATGAAACAAAAAAGATAAACGAATCTATGAAGTTATAAGAACGAGGTGACGTAAGGTAATATTATTCCCCAACGAAATAAAACAGATGGAGAATATCTACAAGTAAGCTCAAAGTGGTGACTTACTATTACATCAATCCCACTAAAGGTGATTGCGATGAAAACAAATTTTAAAATAATCAAACCAAAAGTGAAATCCATCGTTGTGGTATTCCTCATTTTAGGAAATAAAAACATTCGTGTAAACCAGAAATAACTAGCTGTTCGATAGGATTTCATTAGCAAGTGAATGGATGATTAGCAAACACGACTAGTAGCGAAAAGGTAAGATTAAGTAAACAAGCGAAACTGCAATAAGCACTGAGGCGCCAGAATTGACAAACAAACTAAACAGTAAGTTATTGTTCTTCGGATGCTTACTACTGACATCACGCTATATGTACTGGACCCAAACTCCACAAGAACACTACATTATCAGAAAATAGTACACAAAAACATGTATTACTTCAGTTATTTGTACATTCTGAACCTATTAAAATTGATGATCACTCTTTGTTGATGTGAATGTTGGGCCAGAAGCTAAAGAAAAGTCAATTTCCAATATGGTGCAGTCCAACAGAGCTATTAAAATATGGAGTCTATAATAGCAACAACGAGACTTGCGACATTCCTAAGATACTGGTTACCAACAATTAAGTTTTAGAAATATACTGACTTTCCACTATTATAGAATTAAATTATAAGAAGGCAGATTTAAAACTTAGAGATATCACAGTCTCAATATTTTTGTTTTAGAATACTGAATGCAAAATGTATAGATGCCTTACAAAGTAATGTGTATTCGCTTTTGGACCAAAAACCAGTCTTCTTTTTAATTTGCATACTCTTTCAATATAACACTAAAATATATCACTTCGAAACAATTTATAAATCATGTTGGAATAACGTTATATTTTATGAATAATTCCAAGCACGCTTGAGCTGATTTAGCTGAATCGTTAACACATATTTTATATCTCACATTCAATGTGCTCTATGCTTGATAAACACTTTAACGTAGTCTTTGCAAAGTCTGCCCATGCAAAGAATAGTATTTATAGTATACTTAGAGATATTTATAGTTTACTTAGAGATATGTGTTTTCTGTAATCGTCCACAAAGCTCGAAACAGTCGAATTCCGTGTTGAAATGTTGTAAAAATTGCTAATAATTTGACCACTACACTTAAAAAATGTGAGATACGTAAACCACGACGAGTTCTTTAGAGAATTGTTCTGTATATTAACAGACTGGATATTCACTCAATGAATTTACAGGTATATGTTCACCTATAACTATCTAACTATCATTCTATGGATAGATAAAATATCAGGATCTCCACGGTAGATTCAAATACTTGTGATGAATGAGTGCTTGCTCTAGTTATGTAAACAGACCAAGATAAATTTCTGTGAATAGTTTTTTGATAAACAGTTAGAACATTTGCATTTTAAATCTTCGAAATTCAACAACTGATCTCAAACCTACATTTTTTGCAGGGACACAATTTTAATCAAGTCTTACACACACATATACAAGACGCTTTCAAATCAAGGAATGTAACTTAGCAATCAATTAGTATAATATAATAATGTAATTTAAGTTTTCTACCAGTATGTATCTTAGAATCAATATGATTAGAAACCAACGTGTGAGAAAGCCTGGATATTTTCTTCTAATTATCAATAGCTTCTGAGGAGAGTTATTTCCCATGATAAAACTATGATAAGCTTGTTTTGTTATCGGTCTTTACAGTAATGTTCATTTCGTAATTGTGCATGTGTGCCAACACGTATATAATGCTTACTTGCATTTTTTCTTTATATTATGATTACTAATCAGTATTCCTTGGTGGTTTTCGTGATAAGGAATAAATTCCAGGAAAGCAGCTGAAGTCCACATAAATTGGCACATCAGGCTTTGTAGTAATGGGGCTGTGTTTAATTAATCCATTAGCTGCTGATTCGCCGTATATGGTACGATCCTCCTCCTGCAGCTGTGAGTGTGCCGTATTCGATGTTCGGCTTGCAAAAATTCCGCGAGCGTTTACAGCAAACGTAGTCGGTGGGTTAACTTATTGTCACACACGCACACACACATGATATATTCAAGGCGAACATTTTACAGACTTCATACTTTACCTGAACTTTCGCCTTCTATTCTGTAGTATTCAAAAGTAAAACAGTAGACATATAAACATAAATAAATATCTAAATATGGTTTGTTTTTCTCCAGGCCATGTTTGTGTTGCTGATTCTGGGATGGATTTTCGTTCCAGTATATTCTGCTTCAGGAGTAAGTTTTTACATGAATTTTTTCTTAATCTAAACACTTATCAATAAATGTGTAAAGAGGGAATATGAACTAACCACTCGCTTATATATCTTCCAAGAGTAGCTGAGTCTAAATAAATATTAATAAACGTGTAAAGAAAGAGTATGAACTAATCACACATTTAAATATCTTCCAACAGTAGCTGAGTTTAAATATATATCAATAAACGTGTAAAGAGGGAATATGAACTACCACACATTTAAATATCTTCCAAGAGTAGCTGAGTTTAAATATATATCAATAAACGTGTAAAGAAAGAGTATGAACTAACCACACATTTAAATATCTTCCAACAGTAGCTGAGTTTAAATATATATCAATAAACGTGTAAATAGGGAATATGAACTAACCACACATTTAAATATCTTCCAACAGTAGCTGAGTTTAAATATATATCAATAAACGTGTAAAGAAAGAGTATGAACTAACCACACATTTAAATATCTTCCAACAGTAGCTGAGTTTAAATATATATCAATAAATATGTAAAGAGGGAATATGAACTAACCACACATTTAAATATCTTCCAACAGTAGCTGAGTTTAAATATATATAAATAAACGTGTAATGAAAGAGTATGAACTAACCACACATTTAAATATCTTCCAACAGTAGCTGAGTTTAAATATCTATCAATAAACGTGTAAAGAAATAGTATGAACTAACCACACGTTTAAATATCTTCCAACAGTAACCGAGTTTTAAAATATAATTCAAAACCCATTTAATCATAGTTTTGGAATTTGTTATTTTTAACCTTATGCTACTCAATGGCTAAATGACCAGGTCAGAAACCCAGAAAAAAACAAACAATCAGCAGCAGTTACTGATACATAAGAAAGGAAATACTTCTTTCTCTAAATTGAATTTGTCAAGAAGAGAAAATAGAAGTTAAATAATGTTTTATACAAGCGATTTTTCCATAAATGTACATGCTCATGGGCACATTATTTGACAGAGTGTAGAATGTACAGTAGAATAAATAGAATTTTGTATTGCACCAGTTCTTTTTTTTTTCAAGTATGAAACATTTGGGTGGCCCCACGATACAAACCATAGAATCTTCTCATAATTATTATAATTCATCATTATCCATTATGTTGTTTATTTACTTTTGGTACTTGCTTGCACAAGGAGTGTAGGAAGAAATGCGTGCGTGTAACCTTAGTTTTTGTGTTAACCGTTTTTACATAGCTCGATCTATAAAATAATGTCACTCTAACGTAAACACATTTGATGAAAATACGATTAATATTTTTACTCATAAAACGTATAAGGCAGCGTAAAATTATTGAAATTTCCCGAAATGACAAAAAGGCAGTGCTTCATCCTCATCTAGGACTCTTTCGCGATCACATCTTCGTTTGTTGCATTTGTTCATCGACCACAATCCGGTTTGTGATCCGTTGAGTCATGATATTGTTTTCACAGCCGTTTCAGATATTATTCTCCTTAAAATGGATGTAAACCAACATCTTAATGAGAAACCATAAACTGTATTTGTCGTTTGTCACATTACATCTTTGTTCAGTTTTTGAGTTGTGTCTATTGTTAATCCTAAGGATTACAATTTTATTGACATAAAAATACAGCAGTTCTTCTCTTGCAGGTGTTTACCATGCCCGAATACTTACAAAAGAGATTTGGTGGACAACGCATTCGAGTCTATCTATCTGTCCTGGCATTGCTGCTTTACGTATTCACTAAAATTTCTGTAAGAGTATATTGACGGAATTAAATATTGTGTCTTGGCACTTGTGTGTAATGATAAAATAATAAATAACACACACCATTAATATGGGTGCACAATTAAAAACATTAGGGCCAGTTTATGGCCTCCAAAACGTTGACTCTGCATGTTTCGACGTTACAATGTTATTATCAGGAGTGAGTTGCGAGTGTGATATTTATACCTTTAACTAGATCATATTACCTGCGTATTGGTTTACAATTTCTGTATAACTTTTAGATGAAGTCAAGACATATCCTTTCGCCGGACCTTCGTCTCTATTTAATAATTCATGATATTTTTTCATATTTTTATTATTTCAAAAGTTTTACGAATATTACTGGCTTTAATGCCTTTTGGTTGAGCCAGTATTACAGTTTTCCCTCATAATACCGTATGTTGTGTGTTATATACGTGCTCTGCTATGGCGGGATTTTCATTTTCTTTATTTAACACAAAAACAATATAAGGTACTATGTGGAAAAAAATGTAATATTGGCTGAGCGAAAAAACATTATAGCCAATAATATTCGATAATCCTCGGGAATAATAAATATGAAAAAGTTCATGAATTATTAAATAGAGTCGAAAGTTCGGCGAATATCTGTGAAGACTGTGGTGTGAAATCCTCTAAAAGTTATACAGAAATTGTAAACCAATTGTAAACGTGACTTGATTAAAGGTATAAATATGAAACTTGTAATTCACTCCTGATTATAACGTTGTAACGTCGAAACACGTAGAATAATTTTTTTGGAGGGCATAGATTGGCCTTAGTTACAAATGTTTCTAATTGTGTACCCCTTTTAACGTTGTGTGTTATGCAATATTTTATTGACGGAACAGTAGTAGATTTAATTCTAAGGTACATTTAATTAGTATTGTGATGGATAATAATAATCGTACATAAGATCGAAACGAGCTATGCCTAAAATACAAATTAACAATTGTTATGAACGAAAGAAAAAAATTCTGTCTTTAAGAACTTTTATTTTCTGTACACACCAAAAACGGTAAAGAATACAAAATTAAGATCAATGAATTATTAAGAAATTGACAAAATATATAAAATAGAAGATATTAAATTAAGGTTAAAAAATGTTTCATGACAGTAATTTAACTAAAACACTAAACATATAAAAGTCAATTTTCTTCCTCTTAAAAAACCTTAACATGGAGATGAGATTGATATAGTTTTATAACATTTAAAATAAACATCTATTAATTTGCTGGTCCTGCTTCTCTTTGCTAATTCTTTCATTACTTGTCTTTGGATAAAATTCTAAGGCTTTACAAGTAAATAACAATTTCACCACATAATTCCAAGTAACCTTGACCAAACTTATAAGAAAATAATAGTGTTATGAATTTTTAAAAAAATATTGTTATGAATTTTCTAAAATGTGATAAGAAATAAACAGTCAGTTAATAAAAACAAGCTTTTTTTTCAATGTAATTCATTTGACGTTAATGTATGTATTGAATTTTGTTAGGCTGATTTGTTTGCTGGAGCCATATTTATTGAGCAGTCTCTAAATTGGAACCTTTATATTTCTGTGTGTGTACTCTTGGCTGTGGCAGCAATCTTTACAATTGCAGGTAAAATGAGTTACCATATATTGAGCAGTCCCTGAACTGTAACCTTTACTCTCTGTGAGTATGTTCTTGATAGTGGAAGTAATCTTTACAGTTGTAGGTAAAGTGAGCTAGTACAGATTTTTACAACAACCTTAACAATAAAATGTATAGTAAAATCATACATGTTAACAGCTTTCTTTGGAATGTAAAATAAATTGAGCTGGTAATATTAACACTGATCCTTACAGTGACAAATTGCATAGACAAAAACATGATAACACTCTTTGTTGTAACAATCACAGCGTAATAATACAAGTAAACAACGAGGTATAAAGTATATGTTTTATTTGAAGATTCAACTTATTCCTGTTTTTAATGCTTAGTTTGTTCTTTGGTTTGCAAGTACAAAATTATCTGACATCAGCGTTTAATACTCATATTGAAAGAAACTCAAATTTTATGTAAGAGAAAATATTTATTTAAACCAAAAACTTCAAAAAAGAAAGAATAAATTTACAAGTGCTGGCCGTTGTTTAAATTTTAACTGACAAAGTATTTATGGTATAGAGTTTGACAAACAATTGTACTGAATGATTGACAGCCAGTGGACTTCATTAACAAACTGGGTTGAGTATTTAACATTAATAGTAATTCGAATTAGTATTAAACGTAAAAAGTAATAAAAAAATGTTTGTAAATGTAAAATGATGTAAAGATGGCAGTGCCAAAAAAAAAAGGCAAACAAAAATATTGGGATGACACAGCTATACAAGACTTTCAATATTAAAATTTTAATGTTACACTCTAAAATGCACGGGTACAAAATCGTTACGAGGTCGGTAAGATCGACCAACCTCGTAGCGAGAGTCTGTAATAATCAAGACATTTTTTGACTGAAGTTGGTTTTCCTTGTAGGTAAGTCCTAGGTTCTTAGTTACACTACATTGATGTCTCTCCTGACATGATCCTGATATAGTGATAAACAAATTGCTTATCAACAGTCAGGAATATATTACTTCAAACTGCAATAATATTAAAGTTAAGTATGCATTTTGCAGTATAACATTAAATTTAAATATTGAAAGTCATGTACATATGATCTATGTAAAGCTGTATCATCCCTACTTTCTTGTTTGCATTCTTTTTTGGAATGCCATTTCTGCATCATTTTACATTTACAAAATGCTTTTATTGCTTGTCTTCTGACATTTATTTCCTGAATGTAAGTTAATGTATTATACGAATGTGTGTAATAGAATTTAATATTATGTGTAGTGATTGCTTTTTAGTCTTTCACTTCATACATAATATAGGGGTTGACTCCCTAAAGACACCAATTGTATAGTGTACAGAGCATTGAGTATTCTAGATGTTAAAGTCATCTAAAGTTCATCTATTATTAACTGGTAAATCCTAGTTTTACCAGGTACTTAAGCTAAGTACATCATATATTTGTAAACAAGTTGACTACAAGGGGTAATGATAACATCGTTTACGCTAGAATTATTATTATTTTTAACTACTAGTAGTTATTACTAGTAAGCGATGGCATCGTGCCAAGAAACAAATTTAGGTTTAACTGACATTAGTAATACGGTAGCTGTAGAGTTATCACGACTGAAACGAGAAGAATGAAGAATTGTTTGGTATTTTAGCAATGGTTTCTTACCTTGTTTTGGGTAGAAAAACAAATGAACGTAAGTGACAATCATTTTTTAAAGTAAAACTCTCTGTCATTTTTTATTTTTTATCATGCATGTTTGTATTATGCCTATTGAGTACCATGACCATCCCTACATATAGAGCCTACCGGCTCCATGATTAGTTGAGAGTTTGCCACTTAAATTAAAATGAGGTGTTACAGGTTTGAAACTCATTAAGTATAGTAGAGAATTAACCGCTTGAGTATTTGAAAACTAGTTTTCGTAACTTTAGCCATTAATGTTTGTGTAGTGCCTAAACCTTACCCGATTGTCTTGATTTTAATATTTCAATGTCCACTTTTGCAGGAGGCTTATCAGCCGTGATTTGGACAGATTTTGTACAGACAATTCTCATGATAGTTGGATCTCTTGCATTAATGGTCTTAAGTAAGTATTTCTAAATAAAAATGAGGAACGTGTTACGTAAAAAATATTTTAATTTATAATATGATTATTTAACAATTTGACGGCTTGCACAGATAGCTGTTTGTGCACTTTGTACAGCTTTATACGAAAATTCTAAAACAAACAAAAGAACAGTCATCATCATGTCCCAACTTGTGTCATAAGATAATCATTTACGTCAGTCGAGCTCTTGACTATTTCCTTTGTGCGCGTATTGAAGATTACAGCCTTGATGATTATTAACTCATAAATATCTGTAGAATGCTTTACTAGAAAAATCACAATATCAGTAAAATGGAAAAAGTATACTAAGTTCATGCTTAGATTAAAAGTTGATAACAATAGAACCATGAAAACAATGCTTTGAATCAGTTCATGTTGCTTAATTTTCAACTGATGTAGCTTTTTCAAGTACAAATTCTAAGAATTAATAAGTCAAAGCAAAGACGAATTTTTAATAATATCTGTAGTAACAACCAACAATACCTGACGAGGCCTAATAGGCCTAATATTATTGGTCTAGGCGCTACTTATATCATCAATTGTACGAACAACTGTTATGGTGTGTACTAGATTAAGTAATTGAAGTGTAATTATTAACTATTTTAAAAAGTTAAAATTCTAGGAATTTTATCAAGGAAATTTGAAAAACAGAGGTGCAAGTTGAAGAAACAACTATTTCAACTCAGTTTCCTACTGAAATGTAAATGAATGGTAATATATCAAAAATATGTAGATGGCGTGAAATCCTTTTTTGAGTTGTAAACTACTGTTACATATCCATGGCATTTGTACTTACACAGCACACAGTAAGTGTTTTTCACACTCCTGAAGATGACATGAAACCACGTTGAAACATGTAGAGTGACTTTTACAACCGTTGATCGGTTTAAATAAAGATTTTGATTGTGTATTATAAAACGTTGTTCGTTTGTTGATTTTAACACATCAACAATTTTATTTAAGCTATTTATAAATCAAAATTGCGGTAAGGATTAATAACATAATATTATTTATTCATCTATGTTGAGCACAAGTTAAAGAATATTTTGGGAGCAAAATATTGGCTGATGTTTTCAATAATATGATTAAATAAAGTTATTAAAGCTATCAAACCTTTATAGTAATATTCATAAAAGCTTTTCAACTCAGCTATTTCGTTTATTTATCTTGAAAATTAAGTTAGTGGATATATATGTATATACCCATATATACTTTTTCCAATTTTAACGAAACAAAATACCATCATGAGTCTTATATCCAGGTGTTACATTTGAGCGGAATGCTTGGAGTTCCGCTTCTTTAGGATTTAAACCTTCGGCGTTCCTGGTTTTCTGATTAGAATGTCAAAGTATACCACAAAAGAGTTCCACCTTTTTAAAAATCCAAGTTTAAACACTGCTTATATTGATCAGGTTGGTTCGGTTGTTGTTAAGCGCAAATCTGCACAATGGGCTATCTATGTTCTGCCTACCACCAGTATCGAAATCAGGTTTTTAGCGTTGTAAGCCAGCATACTTGCCAATGAGCCTCTGGGAAGGGGAGGGGCTGTCGGTCGAAAAAATAAAATGTGAAATGTTTGTTAAAGTGGTAAAATAAGGTAAATTCTATATATAACCATATACCTATCAATAACAATTTTGAATACATGGTGCAAAATACTTGCCAGAAATCGGTTTTTCTCTATATATATTTCTTTTGTTCGTCATCCTTGTAATTTGTTTCCAAATATACTTACAACCTATACTACAGCATAATTATTTTCCCTACGTTTAACATTGGTAGAGGTGACGTGTAACATGGAACTAAATTGTATTAAATTAACTTATGGAAAGTCATAATGGAGCAAGAGTTTATAAACTTTTCTAAAACTTTATGTAATAAGCATGAACTTTGAACATGTTATGTATCATCCGTTGTTTGAATAAACATGCCCCTTTTTATATCAATAGATAAACTTCATAAACACTTTAACAACAAATCAACAAGTTCAAGTCTGGCAGGATTAAGTCGTCCTTAAAGGTTATCGTGCTAATTACAATGTATTTAGTGAAGAAGTATCATGAAATCCTTTTAGACGCAAAACATTGACTTAGATGAATAACAACATAGAAATAGATTCATTAAGTCCGTACTAGAGGACTGAAGCTTTATATGGGTCCTAACTATAAAATATGAAGTTAAAAAGCTCCTGTTCATACTAACTTGGATAAAAGACATACTAAAATATTAACAAAGAGTCAAACCGACCAATTGTATTATTTTTGGTAACAAATTAGGTTCCACAGGAAATCCGGAAATTTGAAATGAAATACAGAGATCTGCAAGGCTTAATCTGAAGAGTCTTTTTCTGTGGTTTTCTATCTTGGTTGTAGAGGTTTTCTATCTTCCAAAGATTAACCATTAAGATCATGGCAGGCTGGGTAGTAACGGTCGTCTCTGTAACTGCTCTACTCTTTGGCTCGCAACGAGTACACAATGAAAACAGCTTCATTAGGAAATCATTTTGCACTACACAGTCTTCTGCAGCCCCCTGTTCTTGTTCTTCTTCGATAATCCGCAGTGTCCCTCTTCTTCATCATCAGTTTCATTGTTCTGCATTGCAGCTCATAACTTCTTCTTCAACATTTTGCAGACTGTTTTTCATGATCGTCACCATCACTATTTCCAACAAAAAAATTAAATATGAAAATTAGAAAGTAGGAATGGGAGCACCAAAAAGTATGGAAACAGGGTAGGAATTGGCGGGGTATCATTACAACACTTGTTGGTTTTTAACATGGTGCAACCTCAAAGCTGGTGTGGGCCGTGGGGGCGTTATAATTAGACGATCAATCCCACTATTCGTTGGTAAAAGAGTAAAAGTTTTTGCGGTGGGTGGTAGTGGACTAGCTGTTTTCCCTCTAGTCTATCACCACTAAATTAAGGACAGCTAGCGCAGATAGCTCTCGTGTAGCTTTGCATGAAATTAAAAACGAAAACAAGCATTATGCCAATAAATGACTCTAAAAATGTATTTATACAAAATTTACTTTATCCGTTATTACTTACGTAGGTTTAATCAAAGTGGGCGGTTACAACAAACTCTTCTACGATTTTGAAAACAAACAGCCAAACAATTCAGTCGTCGGTTACGATCTGAACAACAAGTCCTGCAGTGAAGTTCCAGATAACTTTCGGCACTTGATACGACCAATTGGTGACCCAGAACTTCCCTGGACAGGGATGGTATTTGGACTGACAATTTCTGCTGTTTGGTACTGGTGCTCAGACCAGGTATGTATTACAGTTTGAGTAATGTTAAGAGAAATACTAAACATTCTAAGGTAAAACTCTATACGTACATAACATTTTATATCAGTAGTTATGCGAATAAAAAAAGAAAGGCAAGAGTATCTGAAAATGATGTTATTTTAAACCAGGTTTCTTTGTAGATCGTTTATAGAAAGGTTTCGCTGTAGTTACAGATGTGGAAATAATTATGGGAATGTAAAGGTGATGCATACATAGAAGTCGCAAACAATGAGGAATTACAGCTAAATGGTCACGTTATCATTACTAAAATACATTATTACAGAAAGTACAAAAGGAAAGTAAACAAATTAAAAATACACTAGCATTTTGTTTCTGGTTGAATCAGAGCAGTACAGCTGGTTTTTACCCTAACATAAGTTTAGCATGATTGTGTAGTGTTGTTCCAAATATCTTGTATTACTCTTCACAGTCCAGCCAAGTTTTTATGCGTCACAACCAGAAAGCTTGTTGTGGAATTATAAGGATTCAAACCCCGAACCTTAACCTAGTGATTATAATGCCCGTATTCGGGATTACAGATTTGGGCGTTCGAATCCTGGTAATTCCACAAAAACTTTCTGGTTATGACGCATAAAAACATGTCTGATATAACATCTGACGAGGGCCAGAGAATTTACTGGTCGAAACATTGTGAAATTAATAATACACATAATAAAGACGAGAAAAATAATCCGAATAATTATACCATTAGTAATACTAACACCTCGTCTCAATCATTCCGCACAACTAATCCAGCCAAGTTATTTAGCCTTCTTTGTTTCCACATAAGCTCATAAAACCTTAGTAATATTCATTTCGATACTTTGTGAAGGCCAAGCCATGGTTGTGAGTGTTCCATCAGCGTCTTTTTTCCCAAAACTTTTTACTGCATACTTGGGATTACTGTCATGCTGAAAGACGAATCTCTACCCAACAAGTCTCCTTCCCGAGAGAATTGTTTATGAATAAGGATTTGGTTGTGCCTGTCAGCAGTCAGTGTGCCATCAATTTAAAGATTTCCAACAACACTAGTGTCTGAAATACGTCTCATAATTATAGTGGTCCCCTAGAATGCTTCAATGTACTTTGACCGTCACCCCATTCTCCTATGTGCTTATGAACAAACTATCGTTGATTGTTGTTTCATACGTAAGAGCACCCTGTTTCAGAGTTGTTCTTACGATTGTTTTAAATCTGATGCCCAATTCAACATTTTGGTTTGGTTATTACTCCGAAGTAATGGGTTTCAAGCAGCTGTGCATCCAGTGGTGCTGTTTTATGCTAATAGGTATCTTTTGTTCTGGAGGTCCCACTCATACCTGTTCTTACAGTTAGCTCATTAGTAAGATCTCTAAAGAGCATACCCTGAATTACTTAATAAAATTCTTGAAGCGTTTATTATTATTATTATTACTAGCTTGACAGCTTCTATTTATCAACAATACTAGTTTCATGTACTTTCTTCAGAGTTTCTACACAACTCCTTCCTACTTAAACATAAAATTTTGCTTCAATCTGGTGCATAGCGTTCATCAGTCAAAACGTTGCTTTTACACGTTTGTGATATGGCTTTATTGTCAGTTGACTATGAACATACTCACCACACTACTTCTGGGAATAGAATGACTATCAGCATTTGTATAGTCTTTATGCTGATATGGTACTGTCTGATCCCCTGAATGACAGCCAGTCACAGTGTAAATTATCACTGGTGCAGTTTGTTTTCATCTATATAAATAAGCATTAATACTTAAACGTCTCTACACTTTTTATCACTCAGCACCCAACTTTACACAGTGATATAGGATGACATAAGGAAGGTCATGGGGGGTGGACCCCCCATCTATTTTTATATTGATATAATTCTTGAAAACAGTATGTGTTCTTTTCAGTATTGGTACTTTTATTGCACTTTTAATGTTTGTTATATTAAGAAAAATAAAAGTACAATTTCCTATCCTTTGTTACACTATAAGGGGAACAATTCCATAACACTTGCGATTTTATTGTTTCCATAACTATTTCCAATAGTTTACATCCTAATATTGATGTAGTATATAAGTTCGCTTTCCTAAGGAGCTTTTGAAAGTTCAGAACCTACCTTTATCAGACAAACGTATTAAAGAAATAAAACCAATGTTTAATATTACAAAATAAATATTTATTTATTAGGTCGTCAAGAAATGAATGCCGCTTTTTTAGATGAAAAAAAACCCGAACAACTTATATATCAAAACAAAACATTTATTGAATTAAATAGTCTCCATTCTTATCAGCGATGCTTTTCCATCTTACAATTAGGTTGTTAATGCCCTGATTAAATAAATCACTTAGCTTTGCATCAAAAAACATGTCGATGTTTTCCCATTAAGATGGTGTTGCAGCGAAAGCAAAAGATCAAAAAAGATGTTAACCTGATGGTGCCATATCTGGAGAATATGGTGGGTGGGAGAGAACTTTCCAATCCAACTCCATAATCTTGTGTTGCATCAGAAGTGCCACATGTGGACGTACATTGTCATGGAGAAGAGGAACACTTTCCGATTGACAAGCGAAAGGCGTCTTTGGTGAAGGGCTTGATTTGAACGTTCCAGTTGCTGACTATAGATCTCTGCATTGACAGTTCGCTGTGGATTGAGGAGTTCGAAATGAATTATTCCTTTGATGTCCCACCAATGCAAAGCATAACTTTCTGCGGATGGAGTCCAGATTTGGGGGTCAGAAGTGGTTTTTGTCTAGGACTGAGCCATTGTTTTTGGGGGTTAATATTCGAATAGAGAATCGATTTTTCATCACCGGTGGCAATTCTGTCCAAGAATGGTTCACGCGCATTACGCGCCAGAAGAGACAAAGCAACATTCACATGTTGGAAATGATGATCATCGGAGAGTCACTCAAACACATTCTTTATGGAGTTTTCCCATATTACCTAGATGTTTACATATTGTTTCATGAGAGACATGCAATTTCAGGGCCATTTC